TTTTCATAACGGGAACCTTATAAAAAATGTGTTTGCAGATTTATATTTTAATGAAGCATCGAAGACCTGTGCAAATGCTAACAGTCTGAACTGTCGTCTCAGTTTTTTCAGCAGGTTAGTCAATTTTAAACTTGTTATTGCTGATTGTATTTCTTTATTTTAATATTTCAGGTTGTGAGCAATAGAGTGTTTTTTTTTTCTCTAATTTTTTTCCTCATATTTTCTATATGTAGTGAAACGCTTATTATGTTAACTTTTAACCAGGAGAGTCATTAAAAAGAGATGCAAAATGAACTGAAGAAATATGTTTCCCTTTGTTGGTTGATTTGAGCTTATGTTCTTCGTGCTTCAGAACTCTGCAAAATTGTTTATTTTTAAAGTTTGTTAGTTTCCTAGAAGGCAGACGTACACTGCAGAACTACTGATAATACTGAATTGCAAAATTTTTTTTGTGGTCAAATAATATCGCTTCTAGAATACTCTACACTCTTTTCGAAGAAAATAGTTTTTTTTTATTTGAACATTTAAATGAAGATAGGAAAGCTATGGTGACAGTTTGGAATCAGAAAAAAAACGTTTTGTATAGGCAACGCACGGAACAGAAGGAATTCTTTTGAAGGCAGGAGGAAAAGAAGCAAGCGTTGCTGCTGAATTTGTTGCCGTTTTATTTTGCAACTGTTCTTTGATATAAAAAGGGTTTTGGAGAATTGAATTTTAACATAGAGGTGTAAATATTTAACCTTAATCCTTTGTATTTAGGATGGTCCTAAATGTCTTTACGAAGCATTTTTTATCAAGTTTTAATAATTTTATTTAACCGTTTTGAGCTAACTGTTTTATTTTCTGTACTTTACCGTACGTCTCTTTTTATGTGGTGTAATACTCTTTACGTTCCCATGTAGATAATTTAAAGATCTAACAGCTTTTCCTCTTTACTATACTTGATTTTTATAAAAACTATTTTGTTCAGGCTTCAAAGACTTGTGCTGTTTAGCTGTTGGGAGAAGATTACAATATTTGTTGTTATGCGGTTAAATACCACAATTAGTTTTTACTTTAATATTGAAAAAGTTCAGGTGCTAACTCGTGTTTTGTGTAAATACCATTTAACACTGATGATGGTAGAGCCTCAGAATGGTTTAATGCAGAGTTCAACAACTAGTAGCAGTAGTGAGGTGAGCATTGATCTCTCATTCATTTCTTGATGAACTAGGTAAAGATACGTTTCTGCGTTGTTGCTGATTCGAAGGAGGATTTAGTGAGTTCTTTCGTTTGAAGTGGAAATGAGAATAAACAGTTAAGGTTCATTTATGATGTTAATTTATATATTAAACTCACAATATTGTGTCTTACAAATTTTCAGTGGTTGTACTTTTTGGTTTTGTCGATTTTTAAAGGTCAGGACATTAACTTTATTTTATGTGTTTCGAGTTTTTGTGGGACAAAGTTAAAGCTTTTATGATAGATCCAGGATTCTTCTGAGTGACTGAGGCATAGAATCTTTGAAAAAAAAAGCAACGTAAAGTTTCTGAGAAGTCTTTAATAACTGGTTGGAATCAGAGAAGAAAGACTTAGGCTAGTGTTTCATTACAAAAGCTATACGTAACTTGCAATAGCCGTGTTTACTTATCCTACAGCTCTTGTGCCTTAAATGTTTTTGCGAAATGTAATGTAATTTTAAATGTTCTTAGGTTGTTTATGGAGCAATGGGCTCTGTGGGGTCGGGGGACGAGTCGCGAGTTATGTCTGACAAGGTTCAGATGCTTGCATCTTCCATATATAAAGAATTTGAGAAAATGATTGAAAAAAACGGAGAGGATAGCGTAAAGGTGAGGATTTGTTCTTGCTGAGTATTATAAAGGTTTAAGCCGAATTTGCAACTGGCAGTATTGCTTGGTTAACTTAAGTGCTCTGAACTTTACTTAGATTTTATAAGTAATTTCAAAACTGTTTATTGGGTTGTTGATTACACTCTACTTAGAATCTTATGCCACTGGTTGTTAATGTTTTGGAGAACCTCGACCTTGCATATCTTGAAAAAGAAGAGTTTTCTGTTGATCTGGAAATGTTGAAAGAAGATAACGAACAGTTGATAACTCAGTATGAACGTGAAAAACAACTTCGGCGTGCGCAAGATCAGGTTTTACTTTTTATCAAGCATATTTGTTAGAAGCAAATACCGAATAATCTTTGATAGTTTTATTGAAACATTATCTAGCCATGTAAATTCAGTATTTGTATTCAATAAACTGCTCTTTTTCAAGGATTTTGGTAGAGCCTTCAAATTCTGTTTTGGTGATTTCGTTTTTGTTATTTTCATTCCCTTTTAAATTTTATTCTGTTACTGAAAGGCGGTTGTGTTATCAAACTGCAAGTTTCTTAGTTTAATTGTTTATTCAGCTTTCATACCGTTGGAGGGATTGTTTTTGTGTCTTTTTTTCTTTTTTTAGAAGTGTATAGAAATTGAGGACGCGTTAGTAGAGCAAAACAGAGAGCTGGAAGGTAAAATTGAGTCTTTGGAGTCTATAATGAGGATGTTAGAACTTAAAGCCAAGAATGCAGCTGATCATGGTATTTTTTCAATTTTTTGTGTAAACATTTTTTGTTTTAATAACATCTTCAAAGTATGTATAGCTTGCCAAGTTTCGTGATTGAAGATGCTGATTTCAAACACGTACAAAAAGTTGTTTTTAGCGGCAAGATTAGAAGAAAGAGAGGCAGACCAAAAAAATGAGTTTGATAAGTTGCATGAACGTTATAATGTGCTCCTGAGGACTCACATTGATCATATGGAAAGAACTAAGTACCTCCTTGGAAACGAAAAGTTTGATATGCTTCAAAACATGCCTCTTCCTTCATCACAAGTTAGAAACAAGTACGTTAATATTTTTTACGATTTTGAATAACATTTTTGCTGGTTGTGGAAATTCAAGAGAGCTTTTGAGCGGTAGAGTGTATCTGTGTTCCTCTAATTCATTCATTTTTGTTTCTGTTTCACAAACCGCTATTATAGTCAGTACTTGCCTTCATCTTCTGTGACAGAAAATATGTAAGTTTACCATTCTTTTAGCGGTTTAATTGGTGAAGGTCTTGTTTTATTTCATTTTTAGCTTTTTGCGCCATTGGGTTTACGTTCTTAACTCTGTAACCTTTCTGATACGTATTCAGTACCATGACGCATTGGATACGCTTCTTGGTGTGTTAGTTTTTGCCTAACGCAATTTGTTTTCTTGGTCTTTCTCTGTTTTCAGTGTTTCTATGCGAGAGTTTTCACTTTTTATTGCCCTTACTTCAGTTTTTTTCATCTTAAGCACTGGGCTTCGAGTTTATTTCGGTTCTATTTTGTTTGTTTTTAACAGCTGAATGGAGCTTGTCTTGGTTTTACGATAACTTTGAAACATACCTTTTTTGATATCCCTCTTACATTTAAGTTTAATAAGCCTCATAGGTTTCTGAAATTATCGTTTCTTCATTTTATTTGTGTTAGACTAACAGTGAATGGGGCTGCAGTGCAAGTTTATACTTTTGTAGAATCAGTGCTTTATGAGGTGTTAATGTTAGAAAACTATCTTTAAAGCATCGTTTAAAGTGGTAATTACCAGAAAATTTCGTGGGAAAAGTTACTGAGGTTATGGTGAAAGTTGAAGAAAATTAAGTTCGCATTTGAAGAATTTATGACTTTTCAAGATTCTCTGGAGAATTGTGCTTTGTAGATCTCTTCTGCTTGCAGTGTTATTTCTGCATTCCTCCAACAACACTTAGTGCCACGCTGACCACTTGACTGAAAATTTTTTTGACTGATCTTACCTTAAACGATGCTTAATTAACTGCTAAATCTTCTGATAAGATTATTTTTGTTATAACCTCTTGGTTTAACATCTGTAGTCTTTGACAACCACTTATCTCCTTCCTTTTGTCTCAAAAGGTAATATTCTGACGTTGGTTAAAGTTATTTTAGATGTGTAAAGGGCATTCGTTTAGGGTTTCTGAATGTTATTGTAGACAGAAGCAACTCATTTTCTGGTTTTCTTTTCTTCTGGTGCTGTCGTTACCCTCAATTGGATAGATTTGCCTTTTTAGAGAAAACAGTTATTACTTTTCCCGATCTTGCTTTAATTTGAGAAGTAACTTGGACTCTACCAAATTATTGTCGGACGTACTTGCTTAGTTAGAAATCTCTTTGCATTTGAATATTGGCCTGTGAGCAACTGGAAAGCGATGAGTAAGTTTGAGATACTCTATACTGCTTCCATTCCAGGCTAGGTATGGCGGCTTCACTGTATGCTGGGCCAATTCGAGGTGTGTCAGACATCATCAGTGCACAGATGTCACAAAGTACTACTATGGACGTGAATCTTGCGAATCATATAAGCAACGAAAGTAAGACTCAAATCTTGTCATAATTTTTTTTGGCATGTAAGTATTCTGGCGTTTTCATGCCATTTAAAAGTACTGAGTTATTATTACAGCTGACTGGCAGGAAGAATTTGGCGAAACTGGTGCTGACATCCTTCAGTCACTTAGGGAAACTTCTTCGGCTGCGGAGTCAACTCGTAATGAACAACAGACAGTCGATGTAGAAAAAGAGCAGCCTGTAGAAGCTACTGAAAATGTTGAGCCGTTAGTTTATTTCGATTACTAGAAGTTTTCCGATGTCCCTTTATTCTTTATTGAATTTGTAGTGTTCTGAGGATATGTTGCGTGAAACAGCTTAGATTTGAAGTACTCGCTAGATGGTTTTCCGTAACGCTGGAATTCTCTTACGTTGGTTGAAGCGTACACTTTTTAAGATAACTTTTGCTGGGATCTATTCGTTTCATCACAAAGTTGTTTTTTCAAAAAACGTCTTTGCGACTTCTTGTGTCAATCGGTTTAAAGTTTTTCCTGAGTCGTTAATACTTTCAAGTCACGTGCAACCAAGCAGTTTGATAAGTTTCGAGAGTATCGAAAGTAGCTGTAAGGCGTTTATAATTGGAGCGAGGATTCTTGGTAGAATAGTTTTTTAGTTCTTTGAACAGCGAGAGTTGTACTACTGAGTCATTTTAACAGCTTTTGAGACTTTATTTTGCACTAACAAGTTTTTTGGGAACTTCACCAACTGGTTTGGATCACTAATTATTTTGGTACGACACTCAACTATTGCCACCTGCATCATGGCAAATAATTGGTTTGTATCATTTTCAGTGGACTCAAGGTGTTTCCGCATCATTCTTGCTTATGAACCGAAATAAGTTGTTTTGCCTCTTAACTACGCTGGGAGTTTTTCAAAAAGTTTCCGTCTGTAGCAACAGCGACTGTTGGCGTAATTTGAAAGCTTCTGTTGCGGTCTTTGCTGCAATCATTCATCCTTCTGCAGTGTATAGGAGGCTTATAAGTTTTGTATCGCGTCTGATGCAAGTATTTCTTCTGCGTAACCAGTTTTGAAGTGTAGCGTCACGTAGATATGTTTCTTCTCAAATAATTATCCGCTGGCTTAAGCTGTTTCGGAGATGCCAATATTATATTCAGTCACACTAGATGCGTAATTTAATGGTGTTGTTTAGGCAGTGTTTTCTCGGTCTTTTGCGCTTGTTGTCAGATATAGTTTTCATCTAAGACTAACACTTTTGATCGGAAACCTATAGCTTCTCCAACATACAAGGGCTAAATGTTTCCATATTACATTGCATTTTTCCTTCAGATTTGGAATAGTTTTAATTGACAGTTGTTGACACTTTACACTTGGGCGGATCTAGTCCTCAATGAGCGTCTTTTCGAGTACGTAGTGAGGCTTAGAAGGGTTATTTTGTTTTGACGAAATATAATTTAAGAACGTTTTTTAACATCAATTTTTAAACCGCGATTGTTTCTTAATACTCCTTCAGTTATGGATATGCTGTTTTTATTTGTTTATTTGAAAAACTATTTGCTTTTGAATGGTTTATGAAAATTACTGAGCAGTCATTATCGTTTCTTTCAGCGGCCGGGCGGAAAGTGATGATGTTCTGGGAGCAGACTTAACAGGTGAACTCAATTATGTATATATGCATTTTAATTTTTCTTTTTGAACAGCATTAGCTTATAACTAATAGTAATCTTTTAACTTATATTTTTTTTTCTGTTGTATTTTTTACTAGCTTTTAAATTTTTCAACCTTGATTTTGGATTACAGATTGACGTTTGTTCCCTTCCTCTTGTTTTTGCACTTTGAATAATGCTGTAGTTTTCTCTCATGTAGACCTAAACGGTTGAATCTAGAATAATATTTTGTTAGTTTGATGTGAGAACATAGCCTTATGATCTTCAACTGCAACGTTTTTTTCGTAGATTCTTCAAAACTCTGTTGAATTCTTTGGGTTTGAAATTTATTGGTTGTGGAGCTTAAGAGTACGCACTTACTTTTACCACTGTTTTGAAGAAATGATATTTTTAAATAATATTATTTATTGTTTAAGTGGTGTTGTGGTAATGGAGTGCCTTTTTATTCGGCTTAATCAAGAGCTTTTCTTCCTGGCATTAAGTCGTAGTTTCTGTGTAGTTTGTAAAGGAATCGTCAAAGATTTTTGGACCTTTTGAAATTACTTTAAATAAATTATTTCTTTGAGTTACATTATGGTATGCTCAAATAGAGGAACAGTTTGAAATCGATGGTGAGCGCAAAAGTCAGGCTGATATGCTTGTAGAGTCGTTTATTTAGGTTTTCTTATTTTGTGTAGCATTTATACCAATTTTGTTTTTGAAAATTATGCGCTGGCTTTCTCCTGAAAATAGGAGTGGTGATGTTGTTGTTCAATCAAATCTGCCACAAAATGGAAATACAGATTTTTTTATTTCTATATTTATCATTTTTGCCATTTGCAAATATGGGAGATAAAATAATTGTCATGTCTTTAGCTGAATTAAAGACTGAATCTTAAAGCGGTACATTTCTGTTTTAAAATTGAGCCACGAATTAGTTTTTAAATTGGATTAAAGTTTCTTTTATTGTTTTGCAATGCTGACCGAGTTTTGGGTTTTTTAAAAGTCTTGTGTTCACGGATTTTTGGCTAACAAATTTCTGACAAAAGTTCTTCGAGTTGGAAATTTTATAGAGTCGGGGCTATTTTATTAAATTATTTATACACCTTTGAGCATTGTTAGGTTTCGGCCACGGTTTTAAGGTCAAAACAGAAATGTAACATATTCTGTATTTCTACAGGTGCACTTGTGGATCCAGCCGAGTTTGCTTCAGCGGGTAACTTTACTACTGCCCATTGTGTATTGTCTTGTCACTGTCATGCTACCACAGTTTCTGCAAGTTCGAGATACTGTAAAGTTGCGTTTTGTGTTCGTAGACGTTGTAACCTAACCACCACCTGTGTCTGTTCGAGATGCACTAAGAAGACTGCATGCTATAGTCGTCGGCAGACTATGGAATGCTCATCACGTAGATCCTGTCAGTCGAGACCCTATTGTCGCTGTTTTTTGCCGACAAAAAGGAGACGCTTACACACCTTTACCTTACCAACCCTGTGCCTGGCTGAAGAAATGAGGACTGCTAGCAAGTCTGAGAACTCGATTTCGAGCAGGTGTTATATGATGCTTTCTTCAAGTTTCTACGAACGAGTAGTATCGGGAAGTACTTGTCCGCGAAACATTTCCTTGAATATTTTCAAAAAACGGGAATATTATTTTAGAAGAATGACTAGTGCCTTGAAATGCATCTTACCTCACTGTCTGATAACTCTTTTAGCGGTTTATTGTTTATTTTTATTCCGCTCGCTTCTTTGACGACCAATTCACTCACTAACAGTTTGTTCCATCCCCTCTTTGGTTCGAAAATGTTCGGGGGGTTGGGGGGTGGTAGTGACAAATTTATCAGTCAGTAGGTAGTTGTTATTGACTTTGTTTTCGTGGATGCAGTATTTGCTTTTGCGTGGATACAGTTTCTGCTTTTAAATTATAATTCTGCATCGCTACAGTTCTATTGACTCGGGTTATTATTTTTATAATAGTTAAACAGTGCATTGACTGGTTTCTTCCCTGTGGTCTTTCGTGATTTTGTTATGCTCAATTGGTCTTTGTGAACCTCACCTCTTTTAGTTCAATTTCCTGGTGTTGCATTTTGCTCATTTCGTGACAGTTGTGTTGTTTTTCTTTTACTCGACATATTACTCCTGGATTTTAAGTTAATTATTGCTAATAACACTAATCTAAACTTGTTCACTTTCAGTTAACGACACTTTTATCGGTAGGTTATTTCTTAAATTAAACCACTTTGCACCTGCACTTATATGATATGGTAATGCTCGTTTTTGCAGAGCCCGTAGATTTTGAATTTTTATCACAGTCGAAAAAATTCCGTGCTTTTTTCAGCTTTCAAATTTTTTTTTTCTTAGTAGCGGCATTTTTTGTAGTAATCGCGACTAAATATGCTTTCTGAGTCTTCAAATGCGAGGAATGAACCATAAAATTTAGTTTTTATTAGAGCATTCCTTTTTTTTGGTTGTAAAGTACATAAGCCAAAATTTTTTTCGACTTAGTGTCTTCAGCAAACAGATTTTTGTCAATTTGTAACCGAGTTCAGAAAAACCAAGCAGCATCTCTTGCCATATTATTCATGTTCACTTGTTCGTCTGTTGCTTTTGTGTCCTACAGTTGCATTTACCTCTGTTGCCTGATGTAATGAAAGTGTACTTCCCATACCTACAGTGTCTGTGATTAAGACCATGCGCCGCAATTCATGTATATATTTCAAATTTCATTTTATTAACTTATTAAGAATTAATTTTTTATAAAAAACTGGTACGTACTTTTTTCGTTTTTGGTCATGTAAATATCAGTAGAAGTTTTGCCTTCTTTAGTTAGTCGGCCTTTTTTATGGCTGAAAATGAATTCGGCACAAAGTTTGTAAAATTACAAAAAATTTTTAAAACTTTATTTTTTGAGGCATTTTTGAAAACAATTTTTTATGGGAGAAAAAAGACAGGAATTGTGCCTTCTTCGCTTTTTATGCATGTGAAGTCTAGGCATTTGTTTGTTTAAAACTGAATAAACTGCATTTAAAAGAGAAGATATGTGTAAAATGGTGTTTGTCTGCATGTTTCTTACGGGAACATAGTTAGTCCCATTAAATAGAAAAGGTTAACTTTTAGGCATGGGTCGTGAAGTCGAGAACTTAATAAAAGAAAACACTGAACTTTTGGAGACAAAAAATGCCTTGAACATAGTAAAAAATGATCTTATTGCTCGTGTGGATGAATTAAGCAGGTAATTCTTATTATCTCTGAAAGTATTGCATAAATTTCTACGAACGGTATCTACTGCAGTGAGCAAGATATATTGCGGGAAGAAATAAGAAGTTTGGAGATGGTTAGAGCAAAGATGAATGATCGTATAAAGGAGCTAGAAACAGAATTACGTGACATGAAAGAGAAGTCTGAGGGACGAGGCGACGAGGACCAGGTAGGTATTTTTGGACCCTGTAGTAATGCTGTGATTATAAGATTAGATTGTTCAAGGTAGCATTTGAATGTTGCAGGATGACGTGCCGATGGCAC